CTTCAGAAGGGCAGCAGGGGGACTGCTCTGACTTCCAGGAGCCTGGCGCAGGGTGGGCACTGGCCTGGCGGGGTCCTCTCTCCTGTATAGGACAGGAAGGGCTGCCGGTCTTAGAAATCTTTTGTTTTGGATTAGAAACCAGTGGACTTTGTTAAGGGACACTTCTAATCACTTTTTGTTTGAGTGTAGTTTAACAAACACAACCTCGTTTGTGTGGTATGGGTTGTAACTGTGGGGCTTTTCTTCTGTGCTGCTTTTGGTTATGAGATGAACATTATCTCATGACACAGAAAAATATCTGTTTTTGACATCCACTACGGAGCGTCAGTTTAGTAATTTAAAATTAGCTGGTGGTCACCACCATCATTATTCTGTTTTTTAATACTTCCAAAGTCAACATAGGGTAAGTATATTATTGAATATTACCCCCAAAAAAGTATATTATTGAATACTACAAAATATTCAGCGCATAAGTGTGCTGTGCAGTCTGGCTTATTAAGGTCTCTAAGCAATCTTGAGGTAACAAAAGACAAATATAAATGTCCTAGCTTCAAAAATAGAACGCAATATTTACTGAATTGATTTTAACATATGGGCTGCATTGTTTTCCATTAGAAAATGGTATTATTAAAAAATAATAATATTAAAAAATAATGCTTTGGTGGCCCGGGTTTGGTTCCTGGGTGTGGACCTACACTGCTCTGTTAGCAGCCATGCTGTGCTGGTAGCCCACATACTGAAAAGTAGAAGAAGATTGGTAGAATGTTAGCTCAGGGCCAATCTTCGTCAGCCAAAAAAAAAAAATTCACCCCATTTTCTTTTCAGGTACATTCTGCAATTCTCAAACTGTCTGGAGTCCATCTGTAATATTACATTTAAAACACAAATTCCATGTAGTTGGTCAGTTTCTTCCTCACCTGTTGGCTCTTGGCCTCCTGGAACAGGGCAGGGATGCCAGAGTCTCAGGTGACTACCTCAGAAGCAGTAGGCTTTGGGCACAACTAACGGGCTTGGCACAGAGCTGGGCTCCATCTGATGCTCACAAGCCTGGGTGTGACTTCTCTTGATTTTCCTTAACTTCATGGCTTATCTATGAAAAGCTCAATTTAGAAAAAATGCATTTTATAAAACCAGATTCATGCTTTAATGTGATGCAGTGAGAACTGAAAAGTGCAGAGAAAGGGGCTTTTCCTGTCGTGTCTTGTGTTTGGCTCGGGCGTGTCTTCATCTGTTTTGCGTGTTATGTATGTGTGCAGTCATTAAATGAAGAGAATGTGATGTAAGGTGCGTTGATCAGCGCTTAGCAAAGAGTGAGCGTTCACAAGCAACAATGTTTTTGCTATCAGTAGTTCTGGAAGTGGTTGATTGCCTTGCATTCTAAATAGGAAGGAATCATAGAAGACTGCTGATACTCGTACATCCTCCAGAGAGAACAGTCCGAAACTCCATCTGCACTGCTCCTTGCTCTCCAGAAACACACAGTGCCTGGGATGGTGTTTTCTGGAAAGCCCGTCTCTGTTTTCTCAGCACACCCCTGTCCCAACTCTAGGTGATCCTCTCTTCGGAATTCCTTCCATGCCTGTGATCTGCAAATAGTTTGTGGCACTTAATTAATATGACTTAAATTTATTTGTGTGTATCTTACCTTCCATTTGTTCTTTCATATTGTTTTCAACTAGTACTTTTTTTTATTGAGCATCTACCGTATGTTGGCCCTTGGGCATCCAGCATTGACTCAGACACATATGGGACCTGCCTACCCTCAGGGAGCTGGATTGTACATTCCTGGTGATCAAGATCTTCTACTTTTCTGACTCTCAGAGCATCTGGCACGAAATACGTTGCTTTTGTTGTTACAATCACATTGCTCTTGTTTGCTCCCATGTTGCCTTAGAAACTGTGAGGGCTCCTGGGAGGCACAGGGGCTCTGGGACTCAGCTGCACCCAGAGGTAACGTGTGCAAGAAATCTGTGATTTGGGCTCTCAGCTCAACTGCACCTTTTGTCTGCTAAGAAACCATAATCTCATCAGTTAAAGTGATGGTGTGCTAACGGGCATCTATATATGCTTAAAAAGGAAACTTTAAAGCATTCCAAGATTGGGTCCTTTCAGATGGATTTAAATAAAGAAGCAATAATTTTTTTTGAGGAACTCTTAGAACCATTACTTTTTCAGGGCAAAGGATCAAATTCTAGCGTTCCGTTTTGTCACGGTGTATTCTGCAAATGTTGGGATTAACTTTGCTGAGCATATCAAATATGCTTATTGAAACTTGAGATTCCTCCCCTTGCCTTCCATTTTGATAAGCCATCCCATGGGCGACCCCTCCCCACACATCACTCCCCCATCGCTGACCAGTACATCTCTTTATGTGGTTTGTGCCTTCTGAAGTGAGGAGATCTTTGTGTGTAGCCAAACCGGTCCATATGTCATTCTTGACCTCACCCCATCTGCGCCAGCAAAAGCTGGAACTCAGATTTGGTGAGTGAGGAGAGAGTCATGAGGAGTTACTGACATGGGCAGGGAGGAAATCTCCACTGAGTCTTTCGTTAAGCAGGAAAAAAATCTTCATGAGGGAAACAGGATCTTGGGAGCATTTTGAATGAAGAAAGAGCTTAGTGAGCCAAACTTTAGACCTAGCTGTGCTGTGGGAGAGCTCTAAGATATGCAGAGATGATAGACGCTTGGGGGTCGGGGGAGTTCCAATCATTTTCTTAAAAAAACTGACTGTATGGACAGGAAAATGGGTCCATCTGGCTGCTGAGGACCCTGGTCTCTGAAGCCTGGGCAAGCCTGGGAAGTGGTACATGTGAAAGTTGATGGGTGTGAAGATCAGAGCTCTGGAAGGAGGGCAGGGACAGGCATCCAGGCTGCAGACCTCACCTGTGATTTACGAATGCTTCTAACAACAACGAACATGTGGTGTTTACTCTTTGCCAGCTACTAAAGGAGCAGGTTTGGGATAGAAAATGTTTCGGGTCAGGTGGGAACCGCAGGCAGGAGTTGGCCTCTGGTTCTTGGATGCAGTAAAGATTTCCTAAGAAGGTCAAGGAATACGACATGAGAAAAAGGAGGTCAGGAAGGTAAGCAATGTAATGCTCACGGTATTTCATTTGTACCTGCTGCCAGGCATCTTGGCCCTGCTTCCTAAACACAGCAACATATCAGAATCACTGTGAGGGGCGGAGGTAAAGACTAAAAAGCCTCGTCCACAAACATCCTCATTCAGTCCTTCAGTCTGCCCACCAGAACCCAGAGTTGTGCTCTATACACAGGGAAGATGGAGTTGCCTAGAGAGAATACACCGGCTCTCCGGAGGTGGAGGGAATGCACGCCTTGGGAGTCCTTCAGTCCCCTGGGGTTGACCTTTCAAAGCCTGTCCCCAGAAAACTGTGAAAATGGCCCAGAAGATCACAGAGGGGTTCTTACTAAGTGGTGATCTACATTTGTCAGAAGTTGTAGAGAATTCTTCAGGGGTACACACGTGGTTGTAGGAAATTTTGCATTGTTATAAAAAGTATTCATTTTGAGTTCTGCTTCACAGAGTGATTTTGTTAGATGAATCTTATTCACTTTGTTTTGAGTGAATGAATGTCATATGTTCTTGCTAAAGGAGCTCAGTAGGGAAAAAAAAAAAGGACCATCAGTTTTGGGGTATCTACAATCCATTGGGATTGTAAAATAACACATTCCCAAAGAAAATGACAAGCCACTGTGTGCAGTGTGCATTTTTCCTGCCATAAAGAGCATTAGTTTTTAATATAAATCTGTAACGTAATTTCTGTTGTCTTCTGTGACACTTCATAACCATCCTCATGCTCTTTTCAGAGAATTAATACCATTCATCAGCATAAATCATAACGTGTTCCCTCAATATGAGTTTGAAATGGGGGGTGCCCCGGCATCCTGGCTTTCTCTCTCAATGAATTATGACCCATTAATCCTGGTGGGCGTCCCTGGTGAAAGAAAGGCTTGGATGGAAGGATTCAGACGTGATGCTTTGTTCTGGGGCTTTAATATTTTAATGAGGCTGCAGGCTTGGCTGCTTATGGAGGAATGAGATGGGATTTCTAAGTGTGTTGCTTGTGTTAGCACTTGTAGAAGGACGTTCATTAGGAAGCTCTTGTTTCAGTTTCTCCGAGAAACTCCCCATTAGAAGAGATCTTTCAGCAGCATGGCTAGCAAGAAGCGAGAAGAGGGGCGAGGCTTTTAGCTTTAAGCGTTAGGGGATATTGGATCAGTCGTCTTAGTTCTTAAGATTTGCTTCTAAGAATTAATTGGAGCAAATACATCTCAAGGGAGGGGAAAAAAAAAGTTTGCGGAGCAAGGACAGTAGTTGCTGTCCTTGCAAGTCGGGGACTCTTCATCTTGCAGCTGAATCAATACTACGACTAATTATTTCTGGTTATCTTTTATGGGTTTGTAAGACATTTCTTTTGTTCGATGTAATAAAAAACCCATTGTTTGATCAGTGACTGACTAATTATGATAAGTAATTTGAAACATTCTTGATGAAACTTGTCTGTTAATTAACATCAACAGCAAATGGAAACTAACAGGACAACAAAGTGTTAGTGCATCCACTGTTCCCTGGAATTGATGCCATCTTTCTGTGGTGTGCCCAATAAACCAAAGCTGCCAATGGTTAAAAAATAACAAACAGGTGGGAAGGTCTGACTCACCATGGAGGAAAAGTTATTGTAAAGCTACACAAAGGAGTCCTGAAATACTATGAGGGAGGGGGTGGGAAAGAAATGTCAGGAGGTTGAGTGATCTACTGTGTAGTGTAAGGAGAGCGGTTTCTTTCTTTCCTTTTATTTAAAGTGTAATTCCTAAATACGTTCATCTCATGCTAATCTGAACTAAGATACTTTTGGTAAATTAAAGTTTGGATCCATAACATTGTAGTTTGGAATTATTGACATTGTCTAGCTATGTTGTAATTATCATTAATACTGTTAATTTTTATCAACTCAATGGCTTTCTTTTTATGCTTTTAGATTTCTACCTGGACAAGGACTGGTACTATACCCACAGATAGGAGACAAATTGGATATTATTTGCCCCAAAGTGGACTCTAAAACTGTTGGCCAGTATGAATATTATAAAGTTTATATGGTTGATAAAGACCAAGCAGACAGATGCACTATTAAGAAGGAAAATACCCCTCTCCTCAACTGTGCCAGACCAGACCAAGATGTAAAATTCACTATCAAGTTTCAAGAATTCAGCCCTAACCTGTGGGGTCTAGAATTTCAGAAGAACAGAGATTATTACATTATATGTAAGTATAATTCTATTCATTTATTTTATACAAATTAGGATAAGGTAAATAGGTTTGTATTGATTTTTATTTCCTTAAAATTATTATTGTGGCAAGTATTTGGTGAGAATCTTTGCTGAAGGTTGTCCATGTTTTTTGAAACCTTAATTGAATGTGGGACCCTGTACTAACAGTACTCATTAAATACAAATACCTAAAGAGAAAAAAACCTCCTAGAGTTTTTATAGTTTTGAAATAAGTAGATATATGTGAATATACTCGGCATCTCTACTGGCGAAACCATTTTTAAGGACCATTGGTGAGATTTTGATAGGTGAATCTTGTGCGATGACTTTTCTCTTCATCCATCCATCCATCCATCCATCCATTGACTCATTCTTTTAGTATTTCCTCTATGCCAGAAACTGCTTAAGTGCTAAGGATTCAACAGTGAACAAGATGGTATAATGGTACTCATTTCACATAAAGGTATCAATCCAGAGAAGATGGAGCTCATAGGTTCAAAAGATGGGGTTTACAGGCAAACCACAATTATACATGGGCATGTTAAAACCAGATTTAGAAGAATAAAACAACACTTGGGTTTGCTTGATGAATTGCTCTTTTTTGTCAATCTATATAGTAATTTGACACATTGTTTCAGAAACAGATACTGTGTATCCTTTGGGTCATCTCTGAGCTACTGTTCACTCACAAGGCTGTGAAGTCAGATGATGCACCCCCTGGAGCACATGCCTACTAGGTGCAGATCACCTGCAGGCGCAAAGCAGGATCACTCTGGGGCCAGGGTTTCGCCAGAGTGCAGTCTGGGTGACTGGGACAGCTGTTCACGTCACTCAAGCAATGAAATATTTTTTCTTAATTTCTTTGGTTTAAAATTGTGCTCATGACTGGGTTGGGGTCTCCACTCATTTGTTACTCAAGGCTTCAGTTCATCAGGGAATGCTGAGCTGCTGTCCACTGGCTGCACCCTTCCAACTCGTGCTGATCAGATTGAAGCTCTGGCTTCTCATCCCACTAGCTGCTCTTTAGAGCACAGAGTCAACAGTTCACTGAGTACCTATTTAGTGTTCAGTAATATACTACGTCTTCCTACATTAGTAATTAAAACAAAGATAGTCGTAGCTGTCTAATTATCTTGTTGTCCTTTGCTGTGAACCTGAAATGCCACATAAATTGAAAAGCTATTTTTAAGCCAACTTGATACACAGACAATGGCTTAGCTAGAATAATTGACAAAGAAAAAAGGAAAGTGGTAAATTATAGATTTAAAGGAATAATTATCATAAAATGAAAATAAAAGTGTTCTGAGGGATGAAACAAGCAGATGGGGTGGTAAAGTGTGCAAAATATATAGAGATTTTCAGTCTGTATATATTTTCAAAATATTCAAAGATTTCAATACAGAAATCTTTGAAAATATAAAATAGTTATTTGGTAAAATAAATGGAAACCTTAAGCTTTTTGTAAGTCGAACAGTGTATTATTTGAAAAAAAGACTTTTTAAGTAAGACTGTTTACCAAGAACGCTAATGTTTAGCATACCATTTGTAGGGAACTGAAACTGACCTCTGATGAATTCATGAAGAAGGTTAGTGCCCCGGATTGGGTGGGAGAAAGAACATGGAGGATGCTGAAGAGTGGAGGCCCAAGAGTATCAGATGTTGCTACAGTGTTAAACGTGTGTCCCAGAACTGTGCACGCAGCCCCAGTCCACGAGCTGACTCTTCCATGGAGATAAGCCAAAAGACCCAGACTCTCTCCTCCAACTTTAGTTTTGACTTTTAAAGATGGCTTTGTGAATTCTAGGTTCCCACTGAGTGCAAGTCTGATTTCGACAAACACTGTGGGTTGAGCCTTTAGTCTGAAATAGTATGCAAGAAATGCAAATAAATACATGGTTTATCAACATCTTTTTGTTTAATGTAGTGAGCATTTAATAACTACTTGTTATCAACATGTGACAGATTTGTGTTTAGAAGCACAACTTAATTTATAATTATAATATTAATCTACACAATGATGGCATCTCTTATTTTTCTTTTTCTAAAAACGTAATGTTAGGTTCAGTAGCAAGTAGCTGAGCTGTGCTGCCCTCCAGAACTCTCCTTAGAGTTATGATTTACAGTGCAAAAGCCTGCGGTAGCCTGATAAAAGAATCTTTCTTAAAATAGACTTGAAGGTTTCAAGTTTGAAACCATGCGAAGCTGTTTGGATGCTGCTGGCTGGGTGACTGGCACAGGGCTGGGTCGAGGGCCCAGGGCCCAGAAGTTCACCGGGAAGTCCAGGGAGATGCTCAGCAGAGTTGGAAGACTTCCACCACATCACAGACATAGGAAGACTCTCAGATACTTGGGAAAATGCAGAAGCCGATTGCCCACCCTACAGCAAAGCTCACTGATGCACGGCTTTCCCTGGAAAGAAAATGAATGATGAGAAGAACAAATTTTAAAATGGTTTAAAAAGCTAATGTTGACTTTCTGTTGCTTCTTCAAGAATCCCAAGATTTTTAAAAGTCACTAATTTCCACATCAGCCACTCACACGCACTCACTCCTACACGCAAACACACACACACACAGAGTCACACTCTACTTAAAATAGTGCTATGCTAGGTAGCATGATGGAAAGTACTCAGATTTACAAGTGTATTTTTAACACTTCAAACCATCGATTCACTTTGAGACAGTTAATAATATTGGTATTTGAGTTGCTGTAATATGTATGACATGTGTTCAACTCCAAATCATAGTGTCTAGTTAGTGAGCACCTTCATAACTTTGAGAATTAGTGTGGACATCATCATTATTGTGTGCTAGTGTCTTTCCTCGGGAAGGAAAAAGAGAAGTTATTGTTTGGAGTAGTGCTTCATTACCCCAGAGGGGAATGGTCCAAACTGCCAGTGGACTGAGTTGTTGTTGGATAATTCCCTAGGTGAACTGGCCCCAGGAGCACCGGGCCAGCAGCCCAGAGCACTGGGTTCTAGTCCTGTCACTTGAGCTTAATGAGAAAGTCACTTTTTGTTTCTTTGAATTTTAATTTCTTTTCTAGAAAGTGCTTTTATTGTTGTTGTTGTTGTTCTGGCCATTGATGGCGGTCTGCAGTTTCCAACCTTTTTATGGTTGGACGTACACATCCAATATAGGACCTCTTGTTAGTGTGGCTCGTCTCCAATCGAAGTGGACAGGATCTGCGGTAAATTCTTTAAAGACATTTAATTTGATTTACGGTATTACTAGATTAGAATATAGGCATCACACGTTTGAGTTTTAGAAGTAAAATATTAATTTTTAATTGGAAATGTATTTTTAAACCTACCAAGTACCCACTAAATTCCCTTAGGAAATGACATGGCAAAATGAAACACATCCTCATTAATTCTTCTCATGGATGATTATTTGCTTTGACATGTGGCAAAATGACATATATGGGTTTTCTTAATGTTTAGAATTGACTTTTTCAAGTGACCTATTTCAGTAATTAGCTTTGGGCCTTATTTGCATAATAAAATCTCCTAATGTTACGTGATCCAAAGGTGGGGACGTTATGACTATTTGGTCTCTAAAAACCCCCTGTTCTTCATTACATTCAGATTCTTAATTGTCTTGAAAACATAGTAAGCACTTTACATAGGCTATGGATATTTTTATTATGTCTTTAAAATTTAGACAAGTTTATGAAGTAACTGTTCTGAAGTTGCCCATTTTCAGGGGAAGCTCTGTCTTGGTAAAAGTCCCATTAATATTAGGAAAGCATTCCTAACTGCCTTCTCGGCCTTCATCCATACTTGTGTCGCAGAGGTTTCTTGTAGATACTTCCTATGCTTGATTTGCAGCAGCTTTTTTTTTTTTTTTTTTTGAGGGACTCCTATACTGTTTTCCATAGCCGCAGCACCATTTTACTTTTTGGTTTTTTTTTTTGGGGGGAAGATTAGCCCTGAGCTAATATCTGCTAATATCTCCTCTTTTTGCTGAGGAAGACTGGCCCATGCCACAACTAGAAGGACCCACAACTAAAATATACAACTATGTACTGGGGGGATTTGGGGAGAAAAGGCAGGGAAAAAAAAGAAGATTAGCAACAGTTGTTAGCTCAGGTGCCAATCTTTAAGGAAAAGGAAAAGTCTAGCCCTGAGCTAACAACCATGCCCATCTTCCTCTCCTTTATATGTGGGACGCCTACCACAGCATGGCTTGCCAACCAGTGCCATGTCCACACCTGGGATCCGAACCGGAGAACCCTGGGCCACCGAAGTGGAACATGCACACTTAACCGCTGCGCCACCAGGTCGGACCCCGCAGCTTCTTTTTAGAAGTGATAACCCAGAGCTGAATGAGGTGGCAGGTTTGATGTGTTGGCCTTTACAACATCCAGCCTTGTGAAGGTTCTGTGGGTTGGTTGTCCAGCCCCAGCAAAGGACCTTGCAAAATACCCACAGAGAGGTTTTTACCACACTACCAAAATTATGTGAGTCAGAGATGGAGGAAAAATGGGTGCCATTGTGTTAATACCTTTTAGGTGAACAGTGGCCATGGCAGAGTCATTAGACAAGGGGACCACATGCACGGGGCACCTCCCAATTTAGCTTTCCATGGCTTTCACGTTATTTTTCTTTAAAGCTGTAGCCAAGACATGGACTTGTGGAATGTCTAAGAGTCGTCTTTCCTAATGATTGATTAAAAGTTCTTGCGTACTGTATACTCTGCCGTGTTCACAGTGGTCCTTCCACAAGCTGTCCCTCGCTCTCCATGCCTTGGGAGAGTCTTCCTTGAGAAGCACTAAACGAATCTGAATGAGTCACCATTTCTTAGGCCCTTCACTTGGTTAGCACTCTAAGGCATTTTTTTTTTTAATCAGAGCATATAAAATTGGAAGGCTCCACAGTCAGCTTTGCTATTTTTTAGGCGTAAACTCCACTTCTGAACAAAATTGCAAAATAAATCAAAATGCTTGCACACAAATATAATGAAACACTATTCTTAAGCAAAACAGAACAGTAGA